GAGTCGTCCCTGAGTGCCTGACCCCTCCTGCGCTGGCCAGTGAGGCAGGCGGCTGCTGTTGCTCTCTGCAAGGCTGAGCAAAGGCTTTGAGCTGGGAGCTGGTGCCTCTCCTGGAGTGTGGAGTGGCTCTCCTTGCCCTCATTGGTTCTCAGCCAGTGAAGACATTCCATGTCAATGTTGTGTAAAGCACGTCATCGTGCCCTCGGGGTCATGTCAGTGCAGAGTGCGCAGTGGTGGTTAGGGGCTATGCTCAGGGCTGCAGCTGCGTGAAAGCATCTCCAAGGGACTGGGGCTGCAGGAGGCCTGACATCTGCTCCTGCTTTCAGTCTGTGGGGAGAGCTCAGGAGAGCCCCTGGGAGCAGACCCTGCGCTGCGTTCCCTCTGTTGCGCTCTGTGCTGAGGGGAGGCCATGCAAGATCGCAGTGTGGTGCTGCTCCCCATCCCCTTTCAGAGGGCTAAGGGGATGGAGACCTGCTCTGAGCACCCTGAGGCCAGCCGTGGGCGGCGGGGGAGCCATGGCAATGCATCTGCAGCACATGCGGCAAAGCTCTCAGCGCAGCGGAACTGAGCAGCTTCCCCTGAGGAAGCGAGAGGGGCTGCCAGCTGCCCCCACCTCTGCTCGGTCACCCATAACCGAGGAGCTGCACAACTGCAGGAAGTGGTGCAAAGGCAGTGGTGCAACCCATCCGTCCCTTGGCCGAAGGGTGCGGGAGGGCCGGGGGGACGCAGGTGATGGCTCAATTGGGGTGGGTGTCTGTAGAGCCAGGAGCCTCTGTGGTTCTTGCCCTGCCTGGGCCCCAGGCTGAGCCCTTCAAGGCAGCACAGCCTCTGCGCTCCTCGGGAGCTTCCCCGCTGGCACTCGCCGCTCCGTGTCTCAGTTTGCAATCACTGTCTAAGCTGCAAATCGCAGCATCTGCCTCAGCCCCACCTGCTTGCCCTGGTTGGGGGCAAGAGCTGGAGGATGTTGCTTTCAGACGGAGCCACCCGTGGACCCAGGTGGCTTGTCCGGTCACAGCCTGAGGGTGCTCTGATGGCGTCTCCTGTGGAAGTGCACCCACGCTATGCCCTGGCGCTTCCCGGAGGGGGAGCATGGCTCTGCTGAAACTGCCTGTCCCTACCTGTCCCTGCCAGAGCCCAGGCAGGGCTCGGGCTGTGGCAGTGGGCAGCGGTGCTTGCCTGGCCTCTTTCTACATCCACCCTGCTCCAGTTGCACCTCGCTAGTATCACTGGCTCTTCCGGGCAGCTCCGCAGACCTGGTTCTTCAGGAGCGTTCAGGACACCCTGTGTTTTCTTCTCTGGACTGCCTAGGCCTTGAGGACTGCTGGAGTTAAGCTTTCCCTCGAACCTCCTTTTCCAGAGCCACTGGATCTGGGGCTGGTTGGCTCAGATCTGCGGCCCCATGAGGTGGCGTTTTGCTTTCTTGACTGGGACAAGCAGTGTCAGGCCACGCTGGTGTCTCCTTGCAGACTGTTTTCTCCAGGAAGGCAGAGACCTGGAGGCTGGTGTCCTCGGTGCAGGCAGTCACCACGCGCAGCGCTCCGGTCCCGTGCGCTGCTGGATGTCCAGGAAGCCTCTCGGACCCATGGGAGGTTTGCGCCTTGGCTCAGTGCTCACCAGGACCCGTGCGAGTCATCAAAACCAAAGCGTTGCAGTGCTGCCAGCAGCACAAGGAGCGGGCAATTGGGCTGCTGTGTGGCCAGGAGCAACTGGGGCACCCCTGTGCTCCAGCGTGGTCTCGACTCCTTGGCTCAGCTTGGTCAGAAAAAAGATACTGCTATGAGAGGAGGCAGGGTGCTGGGAAAACACATGGGGTGCCACAGCCAAAGCATCTGAACAGCAACTCTTGGCACAAGGACCAGGCCGCGTGGTGCAGGGATGCTGCAGTGGGACGCGGATCGAGAGGCTGGGTTATCTTGGAGGCTAAAGCCTGCTCAGGTGCTGCCCTTGGGATGTGTCTGCACGGATGGCTTTAGGAGACGATTGCTGTACTGGTCCTGGTGCTGCTCTGCCGCTGGCATTTGTGCCACCTCACTCCAACCCCATGTTTTGGATGAGGCTGGCACGAGGTTTGGGCTTGAGTCCCCATTAGCTCTTTTAGTCCAGAATGTGACACATTTCCCACTGCATCGTGGCTGAAAGGCAGTAGGCACCTGCATGAACGCAGTGTGTTTTCACCCAGTCCCCAGTGTAACAGCACTGCCAATAATTTCATTTTGCCTTCGGTCAGAAGAGCAACAACAAACCTGCCCTGGTGACTGGTGTGCGCCCTCCCCCTGCTGTAAGGCCCGGACCAGCAGAGCAGAACCAGGAGGCTTTAGGGCAAAATATTCTGCTCATGCCTCTGGCACTGACAGTGCAAGACAGAAACCCTCTCTTTTCTGTCTGACAACTCTGTGTGTCGATAGTGCTGTTCTTTCCTGAGAGCACGTGTTTTAAGGGAGGTTATGAAAGTGTGAAATAAGGTTAGTTTGCAAGGGCTGGGGCGGGCTGGGGGAGCTACAAGCCCCTTTTCCCTGGTTCGGAGATCAGGAAGAGCATTTCCTCGACATTTCAGCTGCCAACGCAGCAGTAGGAAGTACTGCCCTCCCTAACGGCAACCCCCGCCCTCCCTGACGCCACATATTTGATCCACGAGCACCAGCTTCTGGATATTGGTGGAAAAAAAAAAAAAAAAGGAGCAGCAATCGGGGAGA